AGCTTTCCTCTCCGTACCACAAATTTCTATGTCTATAAACAACCTTTTTTTCCTAAGAATCAACCTATGCAACCACCAGAAAATACACTCTAAACAGCTTCAAAAAGTTTCTCAGAACCCTGGTGCAAAATGACAGAGCATCCCTTACTCTAGGGCCATCAATTTCTAGTCCCCAATCCAGTCTCTCCCTCTCCTTACTTATGACCCACAAGATTCTTCTAGATTCTAGATCTTCCAGAGTCTAGAAGACAGTTTTTTGAAATTCATAATTCCTAACCAATATTGCCTATATGCCTTTCAAATCACCCATCACTGCACTTTAATCTTTGAAAGGAAAAATATACTATAATCAACATATTAGCCATACATTTATTCATTTAAGCTTTTACTGAGCACGCAAGTATCAGACATTAAGGAGACACTTAACCCAAATCTGTATGTGGTAGCAGGTGGGTGGCACATCTTAGAGCAGATGAGTTTTAAAGGATGGGTAACTGCTAGCTGGGCATAGAGGAAGCATTCATTCCAAGCAAATAGCTGAACCAAGTATTCACATATATGTGTGTCAGATGGTGGAGGAGGAGATTTAGGCAGAAATCAGTCACAGTTAAGTAGCTTTAATTTATTCTAAGGGCAATAGGGTGCCTTTAGGAAATTTTGGAGTAGGCTAAAAAGTGACAATGATTTATTATAGCAGCACAATTCATAATTGCAAGGCTGTGGAAACAGCCCAAGTGCCCATCAATCCAAGAATGGATTAATAAAATGTGGTATATGTATACCATGGAGTACTATTCAGCTCTAAGAAACAATGGTGTTATAGCACATCTTATATTTTCCTGGTTAGAGCTGGAACCCATACTACTAAGTGAAGTTTCCCAAGAATGGAAAAACAAGCACCACATATACTCACCAGCAAACTGGTATTAACTGAGCAGCACCTAAGTGGACACATAGGTACTACAGTAATAGGGTATTGGGTGGGTAGGAGGGGGGAGGGGGGTGGTTATATACATACATAATGAGTGAGATGTGCACCATCTGGGGGATGGTCATGCTGAAGACTCAGACTTGTGGGGGGAGGGGGGAATGGGCATTTATTGAAACCTTAAAATCTGTACCCCCATAATATGCCGAAATGAGAAAAAAAAAGTGACAATGATTTAAAGACAGCTGTTTATAATTACTGCCGCTCTAACATGGGTTAAGGATAGGCTGCACTGGCGTTGGTGAGAAGTAATGAGGGCTGGAATGAGAACAGTAACAGAAGGAGGGAATTGAAGGGATAGATTTGAGAAACATTAAAGAGAGAAACCAGATAGTTTTTTGTCACAGTTTTGTTAATGAGGGCAAAAAGAGTCAAGCATGGAGCATATTTCTTGCTTGGACAATGGAGTGTTGGCATCCCATTCATTAATGCTTAGATATATTGAGTTCCAGGTGGCTTCAGGACATTCAAATGGACATTCAGGAGGACTCTATAGCTGAGAAAAAAGGTTTAAGCCAGAAATAAAAATCTGAGAGACATTAGCATAGTCTCAGAGTAGATGAGGAAAGAAAAAGATACATCCAAAATCCAAATACATGTGTTAAAATTTCTTATGGCTTATAAGAAGTTTGCTTGATAGATTATAAATTCCAAATTCATTTTATTTATCACTCTATCCCAGTGGCTAGCAAAGTACCTGACATGATTTAGTTTAAATAATTCAATATTTGTGTGAACACCTTTATTTCCTTAGGTTTGTTGGGTTATTAAAATTATCTCACAGACATGTTAACTATGGCCAATGTGGATTTAGTTCATCTAGAATTGAGTGAACTTTAAAGCTAAAACTCATTTGTGTTTGAAAATCTTAACTCATTTTAAAATTTTATCTACTTATCAAATTGTCCTTGGCCTACTGAAGGGAAGTGGCATTAGTAGGTGAAATGTGAGTCTAGTTAAAGGTATGGCTTTTAAGATCCCTTTTAAGATCCCTTTTAAGATCCCTTTTAAGATCCCTTTCTTTTGCATCTCCTTGCCAGGAGCTTGGGACACAGGCTGCTAGATCTACCATCACTGCTTCCCTCTTCCTTTTGACAGGCTCACCCTTTGGACCCTTCCTTCTACAGTCAAGCAGTGCTGGCTCCAGAATTTCTCTATGGGAGAATAGGGGACCAGCAACCTATCTGGTTTAAGGAGGAAAGAGAAAAATAGAAATGCATTTGCATAGTAACTTGAAAGAAGACTAAAATAACTTCATTTATCCATATCAAAGCAGTAGAGCCACTAAAGATCCCACCTCCTACCGCGATGAGCCCTCAGCACCTCTACTGAAGCCAGGACCAAGGGCTACTATCCCTATATGAGAAGGCCTAGGACCTGCAGCTTTGGGAATGTCACAGAAACACTCTAGTTCCTTCTTTTGCCTTTCATTCTGGTCCAATATCCTGACACACATCTAGTATTGTATCTTCCTGTATCATATCTTCATTGCACTTCTCAGTATTTGAATTGATTTTGTACATTTCTTAATTTGGATACTCTTTCTTCACTTGTCCAGATGGTCCAGAAAGGCAGATTCCATGTCTGGTTTTGCTCACCAATAATAAAGTTTCATTTATATATTTCACACTTAAAGAGTAAGGCCAAATATTTACATTTTCTTATGAGTTTTCATAAGAAAATGTTTACTGATTCTTTACTTAACTCTTTATTTTTTATTTTTTGAGATAGAGTCTTGCTCTGTCACCCAGGCTAGAGTACCATGGCATTAGTCTAGCTCACAGCAACCTCAAACTCCTGGGTTTTAAGCGATCCTCCTGCCTCAGCCTCCCAAGACTATAGGCACGCACCAACACACCAGCTATTTTTTTTTCTATTTTTAGTAGAGATAGGGTCTTGCTCTTGCTCAGGCTGGTCCCAAACTCCTGAGCTCAAGTGATCCTCTGGCCTCGGCCTCCCATAGTACTAGGACTACAGGCATGAGCCACTGTGCCTGGCCCATCTCACATCTTATTACCTTGGCTGAAGGCCCTATAATCTTTAAGCTGACCTATAGTGATAGGCTTCTAATTGATTTGCTGTTCCCTGAACCTGCCAAGCATATTCCTACCCCAAGACCTCCGTACTTGCTTTTCCCTCTCTGCAGACCGTTCTTCCCATATATCCAGAGTTCAATCCCTTCAGTTTGCTATTCAAATGTCATATCAAAGAAGCTGACCCTTTTACTCTATATAAAATAACCCAATCTCTCCTATCTACAATCTTGCTTTCTCTTCATAGCATTTATCACTAACATGGTGTATATTTATTAGTTTTCTCTACTAGAATGTAATGCCCTACTTCTTGAGCAGAGATTTTTGATTATCTTGTGCTCTGGTGTATTCTCTGTGCTCCAGAATAGGGCCTGATACATAGTAAGTGCTCACCAAACATCTGTTCGATGACAGTTAATTATTAACTGTTTAAGTTAAATAATGATACAAGGCAATAGCAAATTAATAATGCAAGACAGTTCATACTTAATTGCTAACTGGATCCCAAAGGAGTATACACCAGCACCACTTGGGGAGCTTTTCCAAAATACATGTGCCCAGATCATGCCACAAGACCCACCGTATCTCTCTAGGTAGCTTCCTAAGCATGTACATGCTTAATAGCTTCCCAAGTGATTCTACTTTTTTTTTTTATTGTGGTAAGATAAATGTAACAAAATTTGCCACATTAACCATTTCCAGGTGATTTCACTTTGCACCCGTTTAAAATTACTGCTAGAATATTATGGCAGTTCAGCAGAGTGAGAATAGCTGAAAAGGAAGGTTTACCAAAAAAAAGGTATCATGTTGTATTAGAAAGAACATGGCCTTCGAAGTTGAATACATGCCAATCGCTCATTAGCTGTGAGACTGGGCAAGTTATTTCACTCTTAGCTTCCATACCCACAAAATGAAGATAATCTCTATACTCTCTTCCCCCTCCATCCACTCTTCAAACCACTCCAAGGTTATTGTAAAGCTAAAATGAAATCAACTATATAAAACAGGGGTCCCCAATCTTTTTAAACAGGGGGCCAGTTCACTGTCCCTCAGACTGCTGGAGGGCTGTTGGAGAGTGCCACTCATATTCCACATATGCACACTGTGGGCCTGGGACAAATCAGCTGCTAAGTAGGACAGGCAGTGGTGGAACCCGGTGGGCTGGATAAATGTTCTCGGCGAGCCGCATGTGGCCCTTGGGCCGTAGTTTGAGGACGCCTTATATAAAATATCTACTTTGGTGCACGTAATAGGCATTAATCTAGAATTTACTGGAATTGCTTTCATTGAAATAAAAAAAATGAAATCATACTGGCAGAAACACAAAAAGTATGTGTAATACTGGCATAAGTGGCTATAAAAATGTCTCTTCCTTTTCCAATAAGACAGGTGAGAATGAAACTTGTTAGGCGTTCCATGCATATAATATTAGAACAATGATTCTCAAACTTGAGAGCATGCTTCAGAACCACCTGGAGGGCCTGTTCAAACACAGATTGCTGGGCCCACTCCCAGAGTTTCTGATTCATTAAGCCTGGGGTGGGGCCTGATAATCGGCATTTCTAACAAGTTCCCAGGTGATGGGGATGCTGCTGGCCTAGGAATCACATTTTGAGAATCAGTGAATTAGAGTATGCATATTCTAACAAAACCTCTGAGCAGATTAATTCCTTCAGTATAATTTTTTAAAATAAAAAACCTGAAATAGTTCACTTTCTAAAAAACTGTAATCAATAACATGCTTATGATGCTTATAACATTTTATGATCCATAAAAGTCAACTACTGAGATTCAAATAACAAAAGAAAAATTTCATGCCGCTGGCATCCCAATGACAAATATTCTGAGAATTAAAAGTTAATTCTTAGAATATTCATTTTTTAAAAGTTAGCTAGACAGAAAAAAAAAATCATGGCAATTTTAAAAGAACAAATGAACATGTAACTTTTGATGGGTAGATAACCCAAAAGAATACTTACAGGTATGGAGGCATTCCGTCACTGTCGTTGGCTTGATCAGATACCCTTTACAGATATAGCAGGTAATGTAAGGATTGAAATCTTTCACCAAATGTTTCCTTTGGGTAGCCATTCGTGGTTAGGTAAGACTGGCTTTAGTAGTTCAGGCAAAGAAGGGTACACTAAGTAGATGCAAGTCTGATCCCAGGAGCTGGTGTGGTGTTCCTGAGAGGATGTCCTGAGGCATGAGAACTGACATCCAGATTTATCATGAGATCGCTGATCATCACTCCTTTTGGTGGTTCTGCTTTCCCATATCTATTTCCAAAATTTTAAAAAGATAAGAGAAAAAGGTGTCAAATTCCTCATACTGTATTAATATTCTATTAACAGCAAGTGTTACATATTCCAAATTGCGTGAATAGGTGACTAGAACATATCCTTCACTGCACCACTAACTTGTAAATCTGCTATAATTCAGAATAATGACAAATTCTTCCAATCCTGGAGCTTCAACTATCACCTCTATACTAGTGATATTCAAAGCTATTAACTCCAGTTTGATAGCTTTACCTTTTCAGTATAATGCATTTTAACTATCTGCTTGACTGCTATATTAGGAATCCCTGCCAATACAAGTTAGAAGATTAAAAACTGAAGTTATTATCCTCCCTATCAAAATGTTCCATTTCCATTTTGCATCCTACATCCAGTAGTCAAATTAAGTCGTTGTCCTTTTCCATTCTACACACAGCCACTCGACTTGTATATTACATCTCCACCTGAAGTCCATTTTCTATTCTGCTACCAGGTGTATTTTATTCTATCACATTGGGGTTGCCGTCTCAGAGAATGTCAGTGTATCCTCTTTACAAACGGAAAAATGTTTACGTTTCTGTTTGTCCCATATATCCCTCCACAGGTTGACCTTAACATAACAGACCCTTCAACACCTTTCTTCAGGCAAATTGAAGAGATCACTCTTCTACCACTCTACCGGCTCTATGCATCTATCCAACAAGCCCTTCCTCTCATCTGCATCCTGTCTATCCACTAAAACCTTCTCCAATGCTAACTTCAGTGCAATCTTTCCCCAGCTTTTAACACTTACTTCTCTCCTGTTACATTTTCCTTTTATCTTGATTTACAGTCACACTCGTTCTTTATTTCCTCTATTAAAATGAAAAATCCTCAATAGAAACCAGTTACATTTATTACAGTAGATATATAACCTGGGCAATGTTACTTTCCTACATCTCAGGTTTTGAAATCATAAAATAAGAATGCTAGCCTCCTCAAATGGTGAGGATTAAATGAGACAACATACATAAGGCTAGTATACAGCAACAACTGAATGTCATTAATTTTTCTAGATACGTTTTGCATAGTCGACTTGCATGTAAGATTACTTGTAAAAAAGTTTTAAGGGTTTCTTATAGTGAACGTGTCCTCTCAGAAAACGCAACCTGAAAGAAGGTATTGATTTCCCTAAGTTAATTCTAGAAACAGGAACTTCCCCCTATTTTAGCTGTTAACTCGGAGGCAAGCATAAATTAACTGTAAAAGTAAAAGGCATCATTCCATCAACACATACCCACTGAGAATGTGCAAGCAATAAATTCTGCATGTAATCATCCTATCCGTTCGGAAAATCGTGTGTTGAGGGTGTAACAGAAAGAAAACATAATTAACAGACGGGGGGATCGGGGTTCTGGCCCTGAGCCTTGCGTGACCTTCAGCAAGGCGTTTACTACCCGCGCCTGGGGCTCGGCTTCCTCCTCTGCGCACTTGGTATTTACCGCCCTGCCTTTCCCACAGGTTTGCCACGGAGCTCCCAAGTAAGAGAAAGTCGTCTGAAAGAGAAAATGCTCGGCCCCGACCTGCGGTGGTGGCAAGACGGTAAGGCACCCAGCCCTGTCACCAAGACAGTTAAAGGCAGCGCGAAGTTGCAGTGACAGGGCGGGGAACTTTCCGCGTCCGCCCGCGGGACCCGAGGCTCAGCCCCGTGCGCTTCCCGCGCCCGCCCGGCAGGTGCGCGGGCCCAGGCCCCGCCGCTCGGGCCGACCGGGCCGGCGCGCTCCGCCGCGAGAGAGGGGCGCCCGCCGGCGAGCCCGGCGCCCCGCCCCGCCTGCAGGCTCTTCGGCGCTCCGGGCGAGGCGGCCGCGGCAGGTGTCTGGGGCGCCTCTCCCGCCGGGGCGCACACTCGCGCCGCGGGCCGGGGCGGCGGCGTCCCGGGCCCTCGCGAGCCCGCCCGGTACCTACCCAGCGGCCGCCGCTCCTCGCCCGCCAGCGCGCCGGCCTCAGAGCAAAGGAAAGTGAAAGAGAAACAGCGCCCGCCGCGGCCTGGCCGGTCCCCGCGCCCCGTCCGCCCTCCCCCTGCAGGCGGGAGCGCGCCGGCTCCGCGGGGCCACTCGGCTCGGGCCCGATAGGGCGCGCCGGGCCTCGGGGCCAAGGCCCGGTGCCGCCTCCAAGGGCAACTCCGCCCCCTTCCAACCGCCGGCGCCGCCCGCGCGGCCGCCGCGACACGCCCACCGCCGCCGGGACACGCCCACCGCCGCCACGCCCGCGGGACACGCCCGCCCGCCCGCGTGCAGGTGCAGGTGCAGCGCCGCCCCGCCCGCCTGCCGCCGCGGCTCCCGCGCTGCCCGAAGCTTTGCCCAAATTTTATCTAGGTTCTCAACCTCGCCGCCCCCACCCCGGCTGTTTTCATCATAACAGTGACGAGTGTGTTTCCCCTGGCCGGTTTAAAAGCGACGGTCAGTGTGGAGACGGAGTCACCCTGCTGCATGCAACTGTCTTCCCCAAGGCAGTCCCACCTGCGCCAGAGTGAAGACGAAGTCCTCCCTTGATTTGCATCTCACTTGAAAACCACTAACGAACTTAGCGTGGGTCTAGAGATCATGATCTTTGACAATTATAAGCAAATGAGGGCGGAGTGGAGGGTGGGGTTGGGAGGAAGGGTTAGTAGTAAAGAATTATTCCTGTTTGCAAGTTCAAAACAAAGACTCCAGTACTCTTTCTAGCGGACTTTGAGATTTACAAGAGACCATTCGTAGCAAAAACATTCATTCATTCAAAACTGTGCATCCAAGGACTCCTCAGAGCAATTTAATCCTACTGCATTGCACAAATTCTACTACACATTTCTTCTACAACCACAATTTTGCTAAATATAAATTAGACCTAGTCCTTTGCTTCCCTTGAAAGATTGCAATCCACTAATCTTAGGATAGGAGGCAAATCAGCGCGGTCTTCACTAGTGAAACAAAAGTTAAAACGAACATCCCAAAGGAAGTCAGCAAAGGGCAACTTTCAGTCTTTTGTATCAGAAAGAGGAAAAAGTGTTGCAATTACATAATCTTCGCTTTTGTAGAAACCAGAGCAGTGGTGGCTAAAGAAATGACAATAATGGGGGCGAGGGATAATTGTCAGGGCAAGGTTTATCTCCAACTGACAGAAGTCATTTCTTACTAGAATGATAGATTGTGGAGATGACGCCAGTGGTGAACCAATGAACCCAACAACCACTGGTCCAGCAGCCAAACAGGTGTTCAAAGATCCATTTCAAATTTCAAATTTCCCAAATCTACTTAAATAATGAAACAAATGTAAATGCATCAAGATATAGACCAAGGCAGCTTTTGAAACTATTCATTTTGTGATCAAACCTATGTAGAGTAGACATAAGTTTTAAAAATGCTGTTTTTAGTATCACAGCAGGAGCAATACATTTTCTGAAATAGCTTTAAATGACCACATTTTTACAGCCCTTTTAAGAACCATTTTGCAAAACCATACATGCCAATTTGGAAGCTAAGATCAACTTCAATAAGTCACAGCAATCACAATGAACACAGAAAACAAGTCAGGTCAAATGACTTTATAGCAGAGTTACCCCTCATATCTTTCATCTCAGAGACTAAACAGATCAATATATGAAAAGTTGCCCTATTTCTAGTGTATTTAAAATATGCAGTGTAAGATATTACTATATATATACTACAACATATACAAAATGATTTGGGATTTTCCTATTTTGTATCTAAAGCTATTTTAAATATGTTTATAAAGAATAACACTTAATGAAGTCCAAGTGGCTTAAATGTGATTGGTGATCAACAGTAAGTGAGGTTAATCAGTATTCCTGAAGGAAATGAGCTTTAGGGTGGATATTAGGAGGACGTAGATTAGCAATGAAGGAAAGGGTCACAAATCTCCTATATAGGTACCTGAAGATGGATGTGTAGGTGGGGTTGCCGTAATGAATTTGGGATAGGGGAGAATTATAATCTTTGTAAGGAAAATCTGTGTTTCATGTCCCTAGAGGCAGCAGAGTTTATAATAAAACCTTCTGTGGTTTTTCCTCTGCCCTCTTCGGCAACCACTCACTTCTCCCACCCCAATTAAAAAACTGCGCGCACACACACACAAACAAAACAAATAAAAAACTCAAACACTTGTCTGGTTAAAAAAAATAACAAAAGTAATGGCAAGAGGGAATGTTACAAAAGGGCAACTTTCATGAGCCATGTGCAGATTCTAAGTACTTAAACATGGGACTTTCAGCTGCTGTGCTGCCTCTCCTTCTCCCCTGGGGCTGCTTTCTAGTTACATACCCTTTATTCACTTGGTTATGCCAGTGGGGCCAGGGGACAAACCAAGGAAGCAACCATATGAAGGGTGGTTCTGATAACAATCTCAAGTACCAGTGGGACCCTCAAACAAAGGCCTGGAAGCAACTGGATATACAGGATCAGGAAAAAGAAAAGGCAGGCCCCTATCAGTAATCTACTTCAGCTTTCTCATTTTGCAGGTGTAGAAATCAAGCTCCTCAGAAGCGGCAAATTCATAATCACAGAGCTGATTCTGGTAGCACCAAAACTAAACTAAAACAAAGGTACCAGTTCATTTTTTTATATATATACCTCTTGAGAGAACTTCTCAAGTCCAAGAATCTAAGAGATGTCTGGTAAAAAAAAAAACACACATTAACTTAAAAGAAAAAAAAAAAGGAAAAAAGGGAAGGAAGAATGAAGACAGGGAGGAAATAACTGCCTGGATGGCATTTATGAGTGAACTGGCCATTGGTGGTTTCCTATCAAAGAAGCATAATCCAAAGTGATTACTGTTTCACTTGATTATTGACACAGACTCTTCCAGGGAGCCACAAATGCCTCTTAATAACCCTGGGAACTGCTGGAGCTATCTGTGTATCTAACAAGAATTTTCATTACCTTATATTTTTAATCTAGATTTTGATTTCATTTAAGGCTTGGCAATGGGTGAGTAGTTCTTTCTATACTGAAAAGTCCACGTTCCTTGCTTGCCCAATAAATTCATCATTAATTAACTTATTTTTAATAGCATAACTTATCTGAAAAATAGAATTATATATTTACATTCTCCTGAAATATTAAATAAGATGAATTTTTCATTATTATAAGTTATATACTTAAATATGCTGTTTAATCTTTTAACAGAGTATCTTTAATATATAAACTATCCTCTGTAATCTAAAAGTCTTCCTATAGAGATTACAGAAAACATTAAAATTTAACATAAATGTCCTAATGGGTCCAAATGTATTTATTGTATGACTATTAAAATTGTGTCTTAAAATCTATGGCTGTCTAAAATTAACGACAGAGGAATGGGAGGGAAACAGAGAACTGAAGCACTTCTAGTCACTCTTGACCATATCTCTTCTTCTCTTACAGCACCCCTTCCCCACAATCCAATAATACTGGAGGACTTTCTCTGCTAAATGCCTCCTAAATCCATCTATTTAACCTAGTCTATTCAGATCACTATCATCGCTACCCTCCATTACTTAGTGAACTCTTAAGTAGTCTCCCTGCAGCTCTTCTCTGCCAAACCATCCTCCATAGCACAGCCAGAGGATTATTTCTAACTACAAATCTGATCACTCTGTTTCCCAGCTTTAAAAACCCTCACATTCAAGATAAAGCCTACACAACAAGGCCATCCAGGTGCCTGTCACTTTTACAGCCCCTCACTTGAACCCTATGCTCTGGCAGTAATGAACCTCTTTTCCCTCTAGCTAGATAGATGGGCGTTCTTTCAAATGAGAACCCTGTCCTAATCCCCTCCTCCACCCTTCCCCATCCCTGCTAAATCTGGCCAACCTTATTTATCCTTCAGATATCAGGTGATTTCAAAGGCTACCCTCCCAGACACGTCAAAGCTGCTGAGGAGCCTCCTCTATATACACAGACCATATACATAGATAACAACTCATCTTATCCTCTCAAATCAGTATCACACTGTCTTGGGTTATCTGGTTTACTAATCTGAACCTCCTACTAGAGTGTAAACCCAGTGTATCCACTGCTTGACTGTGCATCCCTGGCAGAGTGAATGGGAAACAGTAAGCATTCAAATAAATATTTATTGATAAACTGAATAACTGCACACACTCAAGACAGATTCTATGTATTTTTGGGGGGGCTTCTTCTTGGAGGGATCTTTACCAAGGACGTGTTAAGGAATAATCCCTGCCTTCTAAGACTGTTAATTAAAATCACACCAGGGAGTAGAGACTTATCCACAAGAAATAACTATGGAACAATATATCAAAATGTATTAATAAAGTGTTAAATGGAACATAAGTGACAAAAGCTCCATTTGAAAGAAGGAGCACCAAGAGCGGTCAAGAAATTAGTCCTACATGCCAACTGTGGCAGTTACAAAGACAACAAGGCACAATCCCAAAGGCTATGGGAATGAATGGTAAATGGGAAAGCCAGAATAAAAGAGAAGTCAACTTGAGTACAGACAAATAGCATTAAGTACACAAGGGCAAGATTAGTCTGAGAAAGACCGTGAAGCTAGATAAATATTTTAAAGTACTTTAAATATGTTATGTTAAAGAGAAAGACCAACAATTTTTTTTTCCTCCTTTGGGAGGCCGAAAAGACTAGCTATGTTTTT